GTATGTATGTATGTATGTATGTATGTATGTATGTGTGTGTGTGTAATAAAAAATAGATGTAAAAATGAACATACAGTATGTTCATGATGTTGATATCATGTGGGCAACATTAATTAACATTTACTTTCTTGTTTTTAGTGATGTTTTACTTTTCATGAAATTTTAACGTGCACTTTCTGGTACTGTGGAATTAAGGTTTTTGATGTTGGGTTCTAAAGTCAAATCCAAATTTAAATTTTGTCTTTTCTGCAGTAAAACTTTACAGAAAAGCCGGCATGTTGCAATGGGACGGAAGAAATTCAACATGGACCCAAAAAAGGTAACGGAGTGTTTTTGTTATTCGTACAGTTTGATATTTTGTTTGCTGTAAATTTTCACGTCTCTCTTTCTGCAGGGCATTATGTTCCTGGTGGAGAACGAGCTGCTCAGACACACATCAGAGGACATCGCACAGTTCTTGTACAAAGGAGAAGGCCTCAACAAGACTGCTATAGGAGATTACCTGGGAGAGAGGTGAAAGAAATTAAAATACCTCATCAATCTTTTGTCCTTTTGCTGTTTGTAACCGTGGTCTCTTTTTTCTGCAGAGATGACTTCAACATCAAAGTGCTTCAAGCTTTTGTTGACCTCCACGAGTTCACAGATCTCAACCTGGTCCAGGCCCTCAGGTAAGCTGCACCCACTTCTGTGGTTTATGTGTTGGGCTGAGAGAGTTTTGTTCAGCAGTTTTTAGGCAACTTCCAAATGCTCAGTAGTGAGAAATGGCACTTGTCTCTTAGGTAACGGAGGAAAATCTTGTATGCTTCTACGCCATGACTAAGATACTCTGCCTTGAATACTGAATTTGATCCTTTAGACTTGACCCAAAACTTGTCCTGTTTTTGTTTTTGTTTTGTTTTATTTTATACAGACAGTTCCTGTGGAGTTTCCGTTTACCTGGCGAAGCACAGAAAATTGACAGAATGATGGAGGCTTTTGCTCAAAGATACTGTCACTGCAACCCCGGCGTCTTCCAGAGCACAGGTAAGCAGAAAGACTGGTCATGTTCTTTTCTTTTTATTTTTTTGTTGGTTTTTTTTTAGTGATACTGGAATTATTTTTTAAATTAACAATAGTTTGTTTAAAACATTATTTTTTAGTTTAAGATGTTCTTACGTGTGTATTACCTTTTATGTAGTGCTCATTTCTGTGAAATGAAAGGAACTGGAGAGACTTTACTCAGAACACTAGATTGATGTGGTTTAGAGCAGGGGTTCTTAACCTTTTTGACCTCGGGGCCCAATTTGTTCAACATAAAGAGGTGAGGCCCAGTCACACATTACCATACGGATCAAAATGATAATTATTCTAAATCTTGGTTTAATTTGTATTGTGTTTGCATTATAACTTATTAAAATACACTTACATTTTAACTGTAAAACTCCTGTCAAATAATCACAAGACATGATTATGACAAACAATTTTTTTATATTGTAACCTGCCCATAATCATTTGAAAAAATACAACAGTCAGTCAACAGAGCACTCAGGCTTATCAACACAAAATTACATTTTTTAACATAAACAACAACAATAATAAACAATTCAATAAATACAATTGTGATCATTAAATAGATACATTCAAAATATTTAATGTAAATGTTTTAAATAAAAAAAATGTAAAAATTAATTTCATGAAGTGCAAATGAAAATAAAGCCTTTTTAAACTTTTGCATGGTAGAACCAGAGGCTGCTTTCATTTTAGTGACAAACAATAACAGTAACAACAGCTGGTTGACAAAATGCTTAAAAATAAATTAAAAACATTAATTTGATAAAGTGAAAATTAAAATATAGTTGTATCTGCAACTGTATTTGATAATGTTTTGAACTTTTAAAATGTTGCATGGTAAAAACAGAGGTTGCTCTTCATATTAGTGACAAACTTTGGTGTTTTTTGATGAGTTACTTTCATTTTTGCTTCTACTTTTCATTTAAATTAAGTTTCCATTCTCAGCAGGTTTCTAAAGTTCTTCTTCTACTT